TTGGTTCTGTAATCTGTTGATTGAGCGAGAATTTGTCACAGAATCTCAAAAGTTCTCTGACCTGTGGTTGGTTATTTCCCGGGTCATTCCCTGCTATGATATTTGTGTTTGCCATTCTCCATCTTAGACTCGGTAAATTGAAATCTCCAAGGAAGATAATATCTGGAGCTGGGTTTGCTAGGTTATCAAGTATGTTCTCTATTTTGTGCATCTGCTCTGTGAATTCCTCAACCGTTGTATCTGGCGGTTTATATATTAGAATAATAATTAGGTTTAGTTTCTCTACCTTAATTCCAAGTACCTCTACCACCTCATTAGTTGAGTTTAGTAGTTCTGTGCATACCAGGTCTTCTTTAATATACAGACCTACTCCTCCATTTGACCTAGTTTTTCTATCACATCTATATAAATTATAATTTGGAATCCAGATTTCACCATTCATGTAATCTTTTGTATGAGTTTCCGTGAATGCCCCAAATATTGAGTTTGACTCTAATAGGAGACCATTTATGAACTTAACTTTATTTCTTGACTTTGGCTTTAAACCTTGAATGTTTGCAAATATGAATGATTGTCCATATTGTGTGTCACTTCTGGAAGGTTTTGGTAGTTCTCCCTCTTCTCTACCCTGACCCAGGGTGTGTTGTTGTGGCAATGGTTTGTCCAGTTTTGGAAGTGATACTGGGGAGTGTGGTAGTCTCTGTGTAGTTGGGGGGTGTAGTATGTGTGGGCTTGATGACGAACCGTAATCCAGTTTTGGGCATTTCCCCCTCTCCATCCGTACTCCTGCCACGTTTCTGTTTGTCTGTTTCTCCCTCTGTTTGTGCCTGCCTCTAACAAATTTTCAGGGCTATTATATTGGACTTCCTCTCTTATATAGCGCTGTGTACCTCTGACGTGGAAATCGTGGCAATGAAGATGGTAGCATTTCCTCTCATTAACTGAGAGTTTGCATAGCTTAGGGTGAAAATATCTACACTCTGTATCAAAACGACATCTGCCTTTCCCTAACCAGTTTTGTCATTTCCGTGGGTGCATGAATGAGCATTCCGTGCCTCTGGGCCCATATCTGCACTGTCCTTTTTGCATAATACCTGCAAATATTTTCATCTGTGATTGTATTATTCTTGTTTGTACCTGTGCACGACTTGGCTACCTCTGTGTTTTTTGTTCCAACTTTCTCGTTTCTGCATTCATTCTCAGTATTGCCCTGATCTTTCTCCTTGTTGCTTTCGTCTTTCTCATTTGTGTTTTCATTCGTCTCATTTTTTCTCTCCTTATTCATATTGCCAGTTTGCTCTACAATATTGCCTTCATTTTTCTATACCTCGACACTATGTCCTTCTACATTGCTACTTTGACTCTCTAAATTCTCAGTCCCTGGGTTGTGCTCAGAGTTCGTTGCTGTCTTTATATACTCTGCATATATTTCTGGTAGTTTTTGTGTGAATTGTAGCCTGTGTACTTCAGGAATGTTATTCATTAGTTTGGTAATGTTTTCCCACATCTGTCTGTCACTTTGACAGATCCAGTAGTTACCTTCCCGGTTTGCATATTGTGTAGGTAATCCTGTACAACTCAGGTGAAATCTTATGTTACAAATGTTACATACAATGCCTACAACACTCTTCCGAAGTGACTTAAGGCAGCCTCCACACACCTCCATGTTGGGTTTGTGATGTTATAATATTATATGCATATATTTATAATATTATATTTATGTATATATAATATGTATACAGTATATTTATAATATTACATATGTTTATATGTTCAAGTTTGTGTGAGGGTACTTATTGCCTTGTGGAGAAAATATGGTCCTCTTGGGACCATCTAGTTGACCGTTGTTGGTCCCAGGTCGGGGGCAGGATGCCACCGGTTGTCAGTTACTTGATTTATACACTGATTATTTGCCTGTAATATCCTAAGGGAATTTCTACTTTCTTCCGGCTTGCAATGTTATTCACTTACTCTATTACTAGTTCCTAGATCCACTTTCCCGTATTACAGTATATATTGCCAGTATATTATCACTGAGGGAGTATACTGTTACTAAGGGACGACCCCTACACTGTGTAGGCCTAGTGGCTGTGGTGTAAACAGCCAAGTGTGATGCCTCCTCCACAACTTTACATTTATACTTTTTCTATGTACACTATCTCTAACACTATCCACTAATTTATATGTTGTGTTACACGTTCCACTTCACTGTTCAACTTATCACTGCTCGCTATATTTGATATATATCGCTTATGCCTGTACACATGAGCCTGGTGGCCCTGGCTCATCACGTGGTCCCACGTTTAATCCGTATTTAAATCAAAGTTCCATTGTTAATTTCTGTATTCAACTTTCCTACGAGTCACTATGCACTGTGGGCCATAATCCATGGTTGTAATCCTAAAAAAGCCCAGTTTATTCCAGTGTTTTAACGGAGCGCGACGACGACACGTCCGTCCCCTTCCCCGAGAACTAGCTGATCACGAGGAACCCAAACCCCTGACATGCAAACCGGTTAAGAGCCCACAACGAAAGGCAAAGAAACGCAGAGGAAAGACTGCATGAAATGCACCTCACAACACTGGAAGACAGAAGAGTAAGGGGAGACATGATCACTACCTACAAAATTCTCAGAAGAATTGACAGGGTAGATAAAGATAAACTGTTTAACACGGGTGGTACGCAAACAAGGGGACACAGGAGGAAACCGAGTACCCACATGAGCCACAGGGACGTTAGAAAGAACTTTTTCAGTGTCAGAGTAGTTAACAGATGGAATGCATTAGGCAGTGATGTGGTGGAGGCTGACTCCATACACAGTTTCAAATGTAGGTATGATAGAGCCCAGTAGGCTCAGGAATCTATACACCAGATGATTGACAGTTAAGAACCAGGACCAAAGAGCCAGAGCTCAACCCCCACAAGCACAACTAAGCGAGTACAACTAGATGAGTACACCAGCCAGTCATTGAGGTAGGCCAGAACCTGAAGCCCTAACAGGCACAGACGGGCTAAGATGACCCGGGTAAGACGCCTGAATACACAAGGTGACAGATTCAGGCCAAACGGAAGGCAACGAAAGCGGAAAGCCTGCAGCCCCATCACAAAACCTAACCAGTCCCTGAACTCCAGATGAATCAGGACGTGCCAATATGCGTCCCAGAGGTCCAGAGACACCATCCAAGCATCAGCTTCAAGAGAAGCCAGACCTGAGACAGAGTGGTTATCTGAAAAGATGGGCAAAAGATCCAGGGGTACAGTTGAGACAATTCCAGAATGAACCTCAGATCCGCACAGTTCCGTTTTAGGACTGGAAACAGGCGGGAAACCCACCTGAGTGATGTGGACGTTTCAACCACATCACTTCCTCGCTTCGCTGGAAGACAGAAGAGTTAGGGGGGACATGATCACCACATTCAAGATTCTCAAGGGAATTGATAGGGTAGATAGAGACAGGCTATTTAACACAAGGGGCACATGCACTAGGGGACACAGGTGGAAACTGAGTGCCCAAATGAGCCACAGAGATATTAGAAAGAACTTTTTAGTGTCAGAGTGGTTGACAAATGGAATGCATTAGGAAGTGATGTGGTGGAGGCTGACTCCATACACAATTTCAAGTGTAGATATGATAGAGCCTAATAGGCTCAGGAACCTGTACACCTGTTGATTGACGGTTGAGAGGCGGGACCAAAGAGCCAGAGCTCAACCCCCGCAAGCACAATTAGGCGAGTACAGGGGCGAACAAGCACGCATTAATGCACTCAAACTCGCCCCCAGGTAAATCTGTAACACAGTGTAAGTTTCCCGCCAATCAAGCGTGCGGGTCCGACAAAACCTATGCCACGCCCCAATGAAAGTAAAAAAACAATCTGCCAACCAGGAAGACTCCGGTACCTCATAATGCTTCCAAAAGGGAAAGGTCGAACCGAACTCAAAAGAAGACGGATCCACCAATGAGGCGTAATCCGGGTCATGCAGAAGATAAGCTGCGATAGCCTTCCGAACCTCCTTAGGGGGGGATTCGAGAAGCCAAAAATCTTTGGAAGGAAGGAACCAAAGTACCCAGGGGAACCTAGAACCGAACCCAAATCCCATGCATACAGGGAAGGGGAGAAGAAAACCCTTCCCCTTGAAACAACAAGTCCCGCTGCAAGGGTACCAACACTCAACCGGGGTTAAGTGGGGCCCAGCCCCCCCCCCATGCCAACTCCTCCCCAGCCCCAATATCCTCCATGCCAGAACCCGAGGCAGAACCATCCTCCACACCCTCTGCCCCCTAAAGAAAAGGCAGAGTCCCAGGGAAAGGCTGAGAAGAAGGGGGTCTGCTGGTAAGACTGGGAAACCTTGGTGGGAGGAGCAGGCTTGAATGCCTCTGTTCCCAACCTAGAAGGTGCAGTCCCTGAAGCCACCCAAGTCTCAACACCATCTAAACCCTACCCCGACTCCGAAGCCCTCATGTTTGGGAGCTCGCCCTGCGCGACGGCATGAGTGATGTTTGCTTATTTGCTTGTTTTAGTTTGGAAGTTCTGCCTCCCTGTTAAGTTTTAGGTAGCTATTTTTACCACGTTGGGTTTGATTTGTTACGCCTGCCTTTCTGGGTGCCAAACCCCGGTCGATGGCAGACATGGAATGCTTCCAAACACATGGGTGGGGGGTCCATAGGGCGTTGCTCCTCATGCCTCTCTGAGGGGACCAGGTTCTGGCTTGTGATCCCCGTCAGGCAAGAACTCCATCAACTGATGCCATTGTCTAATACATTTACATCAGCCGAGTAAGCTCCCGGGAGCTGCAGGGGCTCCCCCACAGAAAAACTAACATTTCATTGCAAATGGTGCAATGAAACACATTAAAAGAAAGACAAATTAAATTAGCAGAACAGTAATAAAGTAGATTTGTTGACAATTAAACATTCGAGTTCTTGGCAAAAATATCAACAAGTACTGTACTATAAATTTTAGGCCATTTCTGGCACTTGCATAGTAACAAGTAGAGATTACCTTTATCACACACGCGAGATGTTGAGAGCACTGATCAGAGGACACAGACAAAGTGTCGATCGCCCAGTCCCAGATGAGAGGCAACACACGGGAAATGAGCAGTCTTCCTCTGGCGAGAATGGCAAGTGTTTCCAAGACTTGAGTGTTGCTGACGTGGGAATTATTGCAATAACCTGGAAGAGATAGTACACCAAAATAATTTATGACAGGAAACAAAGCACGGTCCTTTAACTTTGTTAAATAACAGATAAATAACAGAAAACGAAAGCAGTTAAGTGCCAAATACAGTAATGCAAATTCTCTTCATCGAGAGAGAGAAAAGGGGGGGGGGGGCACACATAAAACAAATTGAGTTGTGTTTTATCCCTGTCTTAGTGGGGCCTGACAGTTGAGTAGACAGTGCTTCAGATTCGTAATCCTGAGGTTCCGGGTTCAATCCCCGGTGGAGACAGAAACAAATGGGCAGTTTCTTTCACCCTGATGCCTCTGCTACCTAGCAGTAAATAGGTACCTGGGAGTTTGACAGCTGCTACGGGCTGCTTCCTGAGGGTGTGTAACAAAAAGGAGGCCTGGTCGAGGAACCGGGCCGCGGGGACGCTAAGCCCCGAAATCATCTCAAGATAACCTCAAGAAGATAGTGTAGTGAAGTAAAAGGTTAACAAGCTTACCTTGTTCCATTACCATTAACAGTTTTGGCAATATATGATCACTGATGGCCAGGGGGTGAATCTTCCAAAGAGCGACAAAAGCTTGGATAATACTGTCTCTGAAACAAAATAAAATCAGTTTCAAGAACATTACTGATAAGAAATATTCAAAATAAAAAAACAATTCAATACAGAACAATGATACGTAACACTTAATTAAAAATATATTGCATGCCTTTGTCCTTTAGTCAGCCAACAACAGATAAAATATTTAAAAGATGGCCAGTTATAGAAAACCAGAATTGAATGCAATGAAAGTCCTCTTTCAAGGTGAGCCCCAGAGGCAAAGGGTCTGAGATGGCCTCCAACTCCTAGGTCAAATCAGCTGTGGAGTTCTGTTAGGCCTATTGGGGATCATAGCCAGAACCTAGCCACCCCCCCTCCCCCACACACACACAATGAAACAATGAGGGAAGGGGATGTTCCGTAAGTACTGGATCTAGTCTTCGCCAGGAAAAAGGAAGAGGTATTTGACATCCAGTATCTTCCTCCCTTGGGAAAGAGTGATCATGTCCTCTTGGACATTAAATATGCTATGCGATATAATCTAGTAGAGAATGGGGACATTGAAACAGTTGTAGTTAAACTAGATTTCAAGAGAGGATGCTATGGGGAACATAGACATTTTTTTAATGGGTATAATTGGATAGACTTGTTGTTAGGCAAGGAAGTAAATGAGATGTATGTCAAATTTTGCAAAATATACGATGAAGGCACACAAACATTTATACCAAAATAGACATGCAGATCTAGGAAACAGGGTTGGTTCAACAGAAATTGCAAGAGGGCCAGAGATCAAAAGACACAAGCATGGAATCATCATAGAAAGAGGCCAAAACCCCCAAACATACCAGCGATACAAAGATGCAAGAAACAACTACACGTCAGTAAGGAGAGAGACAGAGAGGAACTTTAAGAACAGTATAGCAGACAAATGTAAATCAGATCCAGGCCATTTCTATAAATTCATTAGAAGCAAGCTGCAGGTAAAGGATAATATTCAGAGGTTGAAAATTAGGGACAGATACATGGAAAATGAAAAGGAAATGTGTGAAAACATTAAACGAAAAGTTCCAAAGTGTGTTTGTACAAAATGAGATCTTCAGAGAACCAGACACAATAAGAATTTCAGAGAACAGCATAGAGCACATAGAGGTGTCTAGAGACGAAGTGGAACAAATGCTCCTGGAGCTAAGTAACCTGCTTGATGGGGTTCTGGGAGTTCTTCTACTCCCCAAGCCCGGCCCGAGGCCAGGCTTGACTTGTGAGAGTTTGGTCCACCAGGCTGTTGCTTGGAGCGGCCCGCAGGCCCACATACCCATCACAGTCCGGTTGGTCCGGCACTCCTTGAAGAAAACAATCTAGTTTTCTCTTAAAGATGTCCACGGTTGTTCCGGCAATATTTCTGATGCTCGCTGGTAGGACGTTGAACAACCGCAGACCTCTGATGTTTATTCAGTGTTCTCTGATTGTGCCTATGGCACCTCTGCTCTTCACTGGTTCTATTCTGCACTTTCCTCCATATCGTTCACTCCAGTACGTTGTTATTTTATTGTGCAGATTTGGGACCTGGCCCTCCAGTATTTTCCATGTGTATATTATTTGGTGTCTCTCGCGTCTCCTTTCTAGCGAGTACATTTGGAGAGCTTTGAGACGATCCCAATAATTTAGGTGCTTTATCTCGTCTATGCGTGCCGTATATGTTCTCTGTATTCCCTCTATTTCAGCAATCTCTCCTGCTCTGAAGGGGGAAGTGAGTACTGAGCAGTACTCAAGATGGGACAACACAAGTGATTTGAAGAGTACAACGTGAGGTGATGGGATCTCTGGACTTGAAGGTTCTCGTAATCCATCCTATCATTTTTCTGGCTGACGCAATACTTGCTTGGTTATGCTCCCTAAACGTTAGGTCGTTGGACATCATTATTCCCAAATCCTTGACAAGCTGTTTTCCTACTATGAGCAGATTCGATTGTGTTTTGTACCCTGTATTATGTTTCAGATCCTCATTTTTGCCGTATCTGAGTACCTGGAATTTATCACCGATAAACATCGTGTTATTTTCTGCTGCCCAATCGAAAACTTTGTTAATGTCTGTTTGTAGTTTTTCAATGTCTTCAGCAGAGGTAATTTTCATGCTGATTTTTGTATCATCTGCAAAGGATGACACGAAGCTGTGACTTGTATTTTTGTCTAGTCTATATCTGATATGAGAATAAGGAACAGCAGTGGTGCAAGGACTGTACCTTCAGGTATAGTCCTTGCACCACTGCCCAGTCCTTGATCTTTTAACTGTGCTCGGACTCAATTTTACTTGATTGACTGTTACTCTTTGTGTTCTGTTCGACAGGAAATTGAGTATCCAGCGTCCTACTTTACCAGTTATACCTATTGACCTCATTTTGTGTGCAATCACTCCATGGTCACACTTGTCGAATGCCTTTGCAAAGTCTGTGTATACAACATCTGCATTCTGTTTTTCTTCTAATGCCTCAGTGATTTTGTCATAGTGGTCAAGTAGCTGTGAGAGGCATGATCTTCCTGCTCTAAATCCATGTTGGCCTGGATTGTGGAGGTCATTGATTTCCATGAATCTAGTGACCTGACTCCTGATCACTCTCTCAAATACTTTTATTATGCAGGACGTTAGTGTAACTGGTCCATAATTCTTTGCCAATGCTTTGCTACCTCCCTTGTGTAGAGGGGCTATGTCTGCTGCTTTCAGCGCATCTGGTACCTTTCCCGTGTCCAAGCTCTTCCTCCACACTATACTGAGTGCCTGTGCTACTGGCACTTTGCATTTCTCTATAAATATAGAATTCCATGAGTCTGGACCCGGGGCTGAGTGCATGGGCATATTGTCAATTTCTCTTTCAAAATCTGCTACGCTATTGTTGATATCAGTTATATTTACAGGTGTTTGGATATCACTCATAAAGAAATTGTCTGAATCTTCCACTTTCATGCTGTGTATCGGAGTGCTAAACATGACCTCATACTGCTTTTTTAGGATTTCACTAATTTCTTTGTCATCCTCAGTGTATGAACCTTCACTAATACAAATAGGTCCAATACTGGCAGTGGTTTTTGCTTTTGATTTAGCATATGTGAAGAAATATTTTGGGTTTTTCTTTATTTCTTGAATTGCTTTCTGTTCTAGTTGGCTTTCTTCAGTCTGATAGGAATGCTTCAGTCTCTGTTCGATTTCTTCAATCTCCCTGTTTAAATTATTTCTTCTTTGTATGGAGAGTCGTGTTTGCTTAAGCATTTCCGTTAATTTCTTCCTTCTTTTGTAATGTCGTCTGCGTTCTCTTTCTACATTTGACCTCTTTCTGGCTTTCCTCAAAGGAACATGTTTCAGACAGACTTCATATGCTTCAGAAGTCAGTTTTTCTATTCCTTGCGTAGAATTTTTATTTCTTAGAATATTTTCCCATTAAATGTTTGTAAGTTCCCTGTTTATTTTCTCCCAGTCTATCCTTTTATTATTAAAATTGAATTTATTGAATAACCCTTCTCGCTTGTTGTTTCTCTTGGGCCTACTTCCGTTATTAATGTTAGTTTGCACTTCAATTAGCTTGTGGTCCGAGTATGTAGTGTCTGAGAGAGTAATGTCTCTGATTAGCTCATCATTGTTCGTGAATATCAGGTCCAGCGTGTTTTCGTTCCTAGTTGGTTCTGTAATCTGCTGACTGAGCGAGAATTTGTCACAGAATCTCAGTAGTTCTCTGACCTGTGGTTGGTTATTTCCAGGTTGATTTCCTGCTATAATATTATTGTTTACTATTCTCCATTTTAAACTGGGTAGATTGAAGTCTCCAAGGAAGATATCTGGTATTGGGTTTGCTAGGTTATCAAGGATATTCTCTATTTCGTGGATCTGTTCAGTGAATTCCTCAACTGTTGCATCTGGCGGTTTGTATATTAAAATAATAAGTAGTTTAATATTTTCTACCTTGATTCCAAGTACCTCTACCACCTCATTGGATGAGTTTAGGAGCTCTGTGCATGCCAGCTCCTCTTTAATATACAGACCTACTCCTCCACTTGACCTAATTACTCTGTCACATCTATATAGATTATAAATCGGAATCCAGATTTCACTACCCATGTGGTCTTTTGTGTGGGTTTCAGTAAATGCACCAAATATTGAGTTCTATTCTATTAGGAGGCCATTTATGAACGTTATTTCTTGATTTTGGTTTCAAGCCTTGTATGTTTGCAAATATGAATGATTTCCCACATTGCGTGTCACTTCTGGTGGGCTTTGGTAGTTCTTCCCCCACTCTACCCCGGTCCAGGGTGTGTTGTTTTGGAAGTGGTTTGTCCAGTTTTGGTAATAAGACGGGTGTTGTGTGGTGTAGTACCTGTGTGCTTGTTGATAATTTGTATTCCAGTCTTGTGGGTATCTCCCTTCCCCTCTGTAATCCTGTAGTGGTTCCATCTGACTGTTCCTCTTATATTTTCTACTCTGTTTCTGCCTTCCTCTAAAAAATTTCCAGTAGTGTCAACAAAGTAAGAACATCACAGTTGGCCCCAGATGGAGTTTCACCATTGGTTCTGAGAGATTGTGCACCTGAGCTCAGCATTCCACTTCACCTGATTTTTTAGACATCCCTGTGTACAGGAGTTGTAGCAGACGTGTGGAAACATGCTAACATAATTCCAATCTACAAAAGTGGAAGCAGGGAAGACCCCCTCAATTATAGACCTGTATCATTGACAAGTGTAATAATCAAAATATTAGAAAAAATAATAAAAACTAAATGAGTAGAACACCTGGAGAGAAATGATATAATATCAGACAGACAGTATGGTTTTCGATCTGGAAGATCCTGTGTATCGAATTTACTGTTTCTATGATCAAGCCAGAAAGATTTTACAAGAAAGAGATGGTTGGGTTGACTGCATCTATCTGGACCTAAAAAACCAGCGTTGAATGTAATGAAACGCCATTTTCTGGGTGAACCCCGGAGGCTCCCTGGAGCTTATTGGGCTAATGTATGTTTTATTAGACCGGGACATTAGCTAAGGAGTTCAGACCTACCAGGGACCAGCG